CTACCCCCAAGGTCAAAACTGATAATTATGTCAGTAGGTTCAGCTTTCTTGGATGTGGGCACCATTGCTGGATGAACTAGCCTCCTTGCCGCCCCCTTTTCCCTTTTATCTTCTCTGTGTTGTTGCTGCTATTACTTGTTTAAGAAAATCCATTTCAAAGCCCATATGTCATTATTCATGAGAAAATAACTCCCACTACTAGAAATTTCAGAGATATTTTAATGACAGAGTTAGACTACCTGATGCAAGTCAGAGTTTGTTTCCTTACTGGATTTTGAGTTTTAGGGACATGACTAGTTGTTCTGTCACTGTGGTGATTTTATAGTTGACAAAAGGTAGCTTTTAGTTGGATAACATACTTCCTCAGAATACCCGTCCCTCAAATAATTTCAGGATGTGACGGGGAGGTTAGGGTAATGGTTAAGTATGAGGACTCTGCCAACAGATTGTCTAAGTTTGAGTCCCCTTTTGCCCCTGTCTGTTGACTTCAGGTGAAGTTTCTTAATCACTGGTTAATTGTGATTTAGTTTCATCATTTGTAATACATGGCTATTAATAATCTCTACCTGTGAAGATTAAATGGAATGCTTAGAACAATGGTTGGCATGTAATAAGCACATGAAAAACGTAGCTATTTGGTTAGGGTCACAGTGTGCTGGATGAAATCTTGGAATGTATAAGGCTTATTTATAATTATCTACCCTTATAAGTAAGCATTATTCGTTTTTCAAAACCCAGTTGATAGCCAGTTAGATATTGAGTTTCCTGCTGAAAACCGGATAAAACATCCTTTATTCATGTTTGTCAATAATCTAGAAGACTAATAAAACTTTACAGTAGTAGAATTGTTAAGAGAATGATAGTAAGCCCTGAAATGAACTAAAGGAAGTAAGACAGTTTGTTAGATGACATTCATTTACAGTAAAGTAATTCCCACTAATAGGTAAAACTCTTACACATGCAGTCAAGGAAGAAAAGACAGGTCCATCTGAGAGATATAACGTGAAAAGAAATGAGAAAGGATTTGATATGTTGGCTTTTATATTTAAAAAAATAATTTCAATTCTAAAATTAGATACCAAGCTAAGTTTGAGCATCTGTTTTCTAGAAGGTGAGGAATAGACTACTGAGATCTTTATCTGCTTTGCACTCTGTCCCCTGGAGAAGTTAACAGCTTGACCAATCTTCACAGTCTCAGAACCTCCCTGACATCATGGAATTTCTTGGCCTCATTTTTAAAAAAAAGTGTATGTTTTTATCGTGATCATACTCCAATTAATTTTTCCTATCCTAGCAAGGATCCCCAATTTCAGCACAAGCAAAAATGAAGTAAAAGTAAATTATGGTGGATTCTACAAAGGAGAACCAAAGCTTCTTAATAGTTATATTGGAGGCAACGGCTTAGGGAAGACTTGTATGTTAACTTCTTAAGAAAGCATAGGGCCAGGCGCGGTGGCTCACGCCTGTAATCCTAGCTCTCTGGGAGGCCGAAGCGGGCGGATTGCTCGAGGTCAGGAGTTCAAAACCAGCCTGAGCTAGGGCGAGAACCGTCTCTACTATAAATAGAAAGAAATTAATTGGCTAATTAATATATATAGAAAAAATTAGCTGGGTATGGTGGTGCATGCCTGTAGTCCCAGCTACTTGGGAGGCTGAGGATTTCTTGAGCCCAGGAGTTTGAGGTTGCTGTGAGCTAGGCTGACGCTATGGCACTCACTCTAGCCTGGGCAACAAAAGTGAGACTCTGTCTCAAAAAAAAAGGATAGGGACGTGATACTACAGACAAAGAAGACCACCTGAGAAATCGACTTTGCACCTTTTTCCTTTACAAAGTCTGCTGTTCTTTTTCTCAAAGGATGAGTAGGAAGCCATGAGGCTATAATACTGTAGATATGACCTTTGGAATTGGCTACAGCCTTTAATAGGCCATGAAAGATCCCATGTGGATGCAGTTGAAATTCTTCCAGTGTTTTTTTAAGGTCACAATGAATGACGCATATGGAAGAGAAGAGCAGAATTACTGGCAGCATCTACAAGAAAGAGGAAGCCATATCAATATTTTAAGTTCAGAAGTAGTCTAAATATTTTTTTAAAGCAACTGGAATTTTAGAACTATCTAGGTCAGCCCTAAAATGAATAAGAACTCCAAATTTGGTGAAATTTATTCTCTTCACTGTTTTTTCTGCAAGATGATCCTAATACTATCCTAGAATGATAACCACAGTTATATAGCACTTTATACTTTGAAAACTTTCACATTAACTTAAGTTTCACAGTCCTGTAAAACAGATATCCCTATTTTATAAGGGAAACACCTGAGACTTAGATAATGTTAGGGAGTCCTTGTTCAAGGTCACACAGGTGGTAGATTGAGGAAGCTAAACTTCCATCCAGATCTGACTTCATAGAGTGTTGACTGGGGGGACTTGTTAATACTCAGTGCTTTGGGGGACACTTCAAGAAATGTAAATACGTAGAAAATGTTTTTCCCTAATCATGGATATGAAAGTAGAAAACAATCCAGTAGTAGTTTCCGTTCAGAAATAACTTCAATAGTAGCATGTCATAGGCTAGAGCAGGAAAAATTTCTGTGACAGTGTTTGGTCTTAATGTAGGTCTTGAAAAATAAGATTTGGATACTTGATATGTACTCAGTATGAGCCGTAAAGAAGTCTGTAATGGTGGTTCAGATTTCAAGCTAGCTCTAACCCACTTGCAGTGTTCACAAGGCACATCACACCTCATAATTCACTAATGTTGAAGTATGGCGTATAAAGAAGGCTCCCGCCCTTGGGAAGACAAGACAGACATATGCACATGTTAGACAAAGTGCGGAGAGGTAGTTTCAGCTAGGAGCCTAGAGTGAGGATGGCAGGAACAAGAAAGGTTTCTAGGCAAAGTGAAAATGTATCTAGACTATAACATGTGGGTAAAATTTTGCCACCATGCATAGCCCACACTTAAGAAGTGGAAATCTGAAATGCTTTAGGTGAACCTTTTTCAAATACCAAATTACAGCTGGATGGTAGATATTTTGAGTTAGTTAAAGATAATTACTGGGGCATTCAGATAATGGATATGAATGATATTGTTCTCAAAGTATTGGATTATAGTTAAAGTACCCAAAGCATCTGTTGGGAAAGCCAGTATTTTTGTAAGAAAAAAGTTGGAAAGTTTCCAAATATATGCTTACTACTCTATCCTTGTTCACTTTTACTGCTTTTCCATAATCCTTCTTAATCCTGGGAACATTTCTGCATTCTGCTGTTAGGCCACTTCTTTTCCTTTGTGTATATCTGTGATTCTCAACCAGAAGAGGGAGGAGGGGAATGCTATCCTTTTGGTGGACACATTAGAATCCAAGTGATGTGGTGTGGTATGATGGATAGTTTAGAGAGTCAGTTTCAGTATGTATATATTTCTACTGAAACATACCACAATAAGTAAAGTTGGACAAAAATCTTCTTGGCTCATGCAGATGTGCTGACGAAAGAGTTGAGAAAGGAGGTTTAAAATGATTGAGAAACCCTACTGTGTATGTCTTTATCTAAACCTAATCGGTCCACATGCTTCTCATGGTTTTAGTTAAACTTTATTTGTTGATGGTAAAGCCTAAATCTTTATTTCTAGCTCAGAATGCTGGAATCTTATCTCCAAATGCCACCTAGAAATCCCATATATAACTCAAACTTAACATACTTAAAACTGGACTCTATCCTTCTCCAAAGGAGTTTCTACCCTCCTCTTTGGTGTCTCAGATAACAGCACCTCCATCCACCGGCTCATCCAGCCTGAAAACTTGTAATTCTTCACATCAGAACCATAACCAATTCCTGCTGATTTTTCTTAGTAAACATTGCTACAGTCTTTTAAGGTATTATGTATATACAGTGTGATTTGTAGAGTACATTCCCCTATCCCTACTACTATTGGCGTGGTTCAGGCCCCAGTCCTTTCTTCCCTGGATAGTTGCAGTAAACTAGCTGAGTTTCTTTCTCAGATACTTCCTTTTCTGTACTATATCCAGGATGGTCCTCTTAGACCTTCTGGGTGAGCATATTTGGAAAGAAACCGAATCTCTACTTTGCACCATGCACTGTGGTAATTGTGAATTGCCATGAACATACCTATTTTACTGCTTGCTTCTCTGAGTTAAGAGACTGCATTAGGACTCTGGAACTGAGGGTGGGTACAATGGCAAGCTCTCTGAATGATACCCCATTCTAGGAGCTGAGCTCTGGATGAAGAGGATGGGCACAGCAGCCTAAGGTTGTCTTGACTTGCTGCTTCTGCTGTGGCACCACCTTATGAGTTGGGGGTGAGAATTACCAGGGCCTTAGGATCCTCAGTGTGCCACACCCAAGGAAGAACTTCTCTTAGGGGCTGGGCAGAAGGGACCCCACCAAGGCTCTTAATTGCTCTAGACTAGGTCTTAGCTTCAGCACCAAATAGCTGGGGTCAGGATGAGAAATACTGCTGTTCTGCGCTTTCTGGGAACAAAGCCCTCCAAATAGGAATTGTGGGAAGAAGAATGCTGTGTTCTTGGCTGCATCTGTCTGGAGTGGAAACTGCCTTGCTGAGTTGGGAGGGTAGAGGGAGGGAGGAGTCTTGGCTCAGATACCACAAACTCTTGCCATTCTTACTGAGTTTTCATAGATTTTCTTACTAAATTTCAGTTTAAGGTTTATGAAAATAAATATAATATTTTTCTTGTCCAAACTCAAGAATACCTGAAAATCTTACATGCTGAGGTTAAGTATATTAATATGTTAGCCTTCTTTCTACAGGTGTGAAGCAACAGCTAAAGACTGGTTTTTTCATAATAGAGTTTACCTACTTATATACTTCCAAGGCCCCTCTTTTGATCCTAAAACTCACATGGGAATAGTCTTTGTTTATTTGGTGTTAACTGAGTATAGTATCGGATTTTATGTAGAGCATTATTAGCTAGCTAGCTCTTTCAACCCCCAAATGCTAATGAAAGTGGTTTGCTGTTACAGGAATACAAGCGCAAGTTAGCCAGAGTTTCCCTGGTGCGCAAAGAACTCAGGTCCCGGATCCAGAGCCTGCCAGACTTATCTCGATTGCCCAATGTCACTGGCAGCCACATGCACCTGCCCTTTGCGGGGGACATCTACAGTGAAGATTGATGACCAGTCTTTTTCCAAGTCCCAGGACTTTGCAAGAAATGGAGACAGGTTAGGTGGATAGTCCTGTAGCATTATTTTTGTATATTATTGGGAGAGTAAAACTTAAGAAACAAGTAATTTATAAAATTGTTTAAAATGTTGGTTTGTTTACTATTTTATTGATAAGTTAACATGACTTAGCTTAAACAAAGTGATGATCTCTGTGTAATAATAAGCTCACAAATAGTGATTATTTTCAAAAGATCTTTTTGTAAATTTTTTTGATCCAGGGCCTTGTGAGAAATTCCATGTTTCCATTTCTTCATGTATTTTCAGTTGTTTTTATTTTCTTTGGTAACTAATCATTGTATACTATGTAATTCCTATAGGGGAATAACTAATCAGGAGTTGGTTGAGACTTTATTATGGTATAGTTAGGACTTGATTATAAAAGGGACTAAATGTTCCAACATAATTTTCACCCTTCTTTCCAAACAAAATATCGATTCTGTGCCTCTCCATGCCTTTGATTCCTTATTCCCTAAAGGTCAGTAATTTAATTTAACACCAAACATGGATGTCAGTTTGAGGGTCAGATCAAAGCCTAGAGAACTTTTCTCCAATAGCACTGTAGGGATTCCATTCCAGCTGCCAGTATAGAATAAAAAGAATGTTAAATTCATTAAACTGTTTAGAAGTTTTTGAGTAGATTAATATGGAAATGCTAGGGAAATGTTATAAATTTTGACATTCTACCAAGAGGACAACCTTGGTTCTGGAACTGATTTCTATTTGTCAACATAGTTGATCCTTTTAACAAAAAGTCATCTATGGGATGAAAAGACACATGAAATAATGATACTTTTATTATTTCCTTAGCTATATAACTTTAAAAACAATAGTAGTTTTAGCTCTGGTAGCTCAAGAACACAATATTCATTAATGTTCAGTAAAGTAGCTTGGAACATTTTAAATGTTTCCTTAAGGTTTTTGAATGACTGCATATTTGGCAATTAAGCAGTGCTACATACACTACAGGGTAGATATGGTAAATTTTATATTTGTATATTTATAGTTACCAAAACAAATGTACTTTTACCTTTTATTTCTAACCCTGTGTGTTAGAGCAGTTGCATGCTCTCTTGCTTTCTTTTTAAATCACATTGTTAAGCTGTGGATTTGTATTCACTAATGACTTAAGATAAACATTTTTTTCATTCATTGCTTTACATATTAGACATTTTTCTTGTTGTAAGCAGATTCAAATTAGATAGTCAATAAAACATCTTTTAAGTCCCACAAGCCAATTATGTCTCACTATTCTGAATGGCTTCACTCTTGTTTCTTTCTCAATATTAGAGATTATAGTTAAAATGAATTAAATGTGGAAGAAGGCAAACATTTATTTTTAATAGCCAATAGTTCTGGAAACAGTGCTTTTGAATAGTTGAATAGGTGAACCTCTCTCTGAAATAGAGACACATATAAAGTAGTCCCTATCCATATATGGCTTATATTCCAAAGTTTTTTAGTCAACTTTTGGGACTTGGGGTGCGTTTTCTCACAGAAACAAATAGTTCGGTTCTCTAACATTACCACTGAAAGCTCACCTGGGAACCTAATCCACTTAACCATGAATGTACTTAACTTGTAATGTGGTTGACAGATTACTAATAACAGATCCTAACCAGCATTTGTAACAACACTCTCATAAGGAAATGGTGTGCAGCAGCAGTCAGACTCACACATGGGGTGTCTGCCTGTGCTGTGTACCTCTGTCCCTAGGTGTAGGAAATGGAAGAAAAAGATTCAGCAAAGGAGGGAGAGATAACAATTGTACAATTATAAAACCTGGTTATGTGTTAAGGAAGTATATCAAGTTAAGTTAGTTTTTATTGTTGTTGATGTAAAAGCAGAAACATGTGTGTTAACTTATTTTCAATATCTTGACCTTATTTATGATCTGCTAAAGTGGTGATTTATCCATTCAAAATATATATTTTTTCCCATTTAAAACTAATTTATAAACTATGTACTCCTGGGAAGATTTGAAATCTTTTAGAAGTTTGTTGCAATATTTTCACCATTTAGAACTGACTTCTGACTTAGATACTGATTTTAATACCAGTATCCTCTCTAAATATTTATGATAAAAATGCATTATTTTTTTAAAGAACTTGATGAGATTTGTGATAAGTGATAGTACTCAAGAACCTGACTCCCACCCCTTGACCGATCCTCCACAAACCTCAGTTGTTGGTTAAATGGTCTGGTTTAGAAGTTATGTCTTCAGCCTTATGATAGTTAACAATGGTAAGCCTTAGCAGTAAACAATCTTCCTTTCTAGAAGGAAGACTACTTTTTCTCAAGAATGGGGTTAGATGGGGGTACTATAATACCAAATTCTAAATCATGAGCATTTTCTCCATTGTGTACCTGAGGCAAATCATGCATCCTTTTGTGCAGTTTGGCCTGGCCCCTCAAGAGCAAAGCATGTCAGCACACTTGCAGTAGGGGTACTGTGGTTTGAATGGATACCATCACTCTTTTCTCCACAAACAGCGCAGAGAGCTGTCTGGAGTGGCAGTTTGAACAGATTCCCTGGTGCTCCCTCTGCTCCTTCCATCACTACAGTAAGTAAAAGGACCATGGTGGGGGGAACCCGGAGGCTGAGAAAATCAGCTGTGCTCAACAGCCAACCTCCCCCTCAAGGAAAACCATTCCAGATGCAGCTATTCTGGTACCTCTTCTCACATGCACTCTGAATTAGGGCTTTTCTATAAGAAATCCTTCAGAATCAGAAAAGGCTGGGATGACCTGGTCATCTTGATTTGCAGAATTAAAAGAACAAAACTAAGTTGTCAGTTGTTACTGCTGATGAGCAACTCATCTTTTAAAATATATTTATTGAACTGGTTCTGAGAAATCTTTAGAGAGCAAAAACTCACAAGTACAAATTAACTAATTGGGAAAGTTAGAATATGCTTTCTGAATTTTCCACTCTAAAAATTTACATTATGTGAAATAACATAAGGCTACTAAACTGCTTTGTATTAAGAAATAGCTCCTAAAGATGTAGTCTTGTTTCATAGTTTTTGCACTATATCAAAGCTTAAAGTGTAAACCCAGTTCTTCTCTGTATAGAAAGGGAACATTGTGTTATTTAATGAATTTATTTATACAGAGCATTTGTTGCCAAATGTAATTCCAGCCATCCACACACAATTCTGTTCTGAGGTGGCAGTAGCACATGGGAAGATGAACTTTCCCTATTTACCCTTTTTTCTTTGGCTGTATCTGATAATAAGAGTTCTTAATAAAGTTTTATGTTCTTTTTGAATGTGTAGGTTATTTTTGTGAATCTCATTCATTGGGTATGGGGTGGAGAGGGGAAAGATTAATGGACTTGGAGGGAAGAAATTACTGAAAGTATTCAGTGACGTATGGTAAAGAAACCGCTGAAGGAGATTAGCCAGTAGTTCCCAAACTTGATTGAGCATCAGAATTACCTAGAGGGCATATTAAATATTTAAGCAATTCCAGGTAAGAATATAATAAAGTATGGGTTTTACAGTTCATTACATAGAAAGTTCCATATGGACAAAAAACACATCTTTTGTGATCTGCTTAGTGTAGTGCTTAGTAAGTGCTTTCGAGTGAACAGATTCAATTAGTACCTCTATAGAAGTCAGAGGCAGAATGTATAGAAAAGATAAAAATAAAAGAAAAATTTAAAAAAAAATTGGTACCTCTAAATTCGTAGAGCCCAGGACCTTTTGCCTTGATTTTAAAACCAAATTGGGGAATACTAGAAATCTGTGGGAATTCCTAGGGCAGGGTTTGCCAAACTTCTTTGATAGACTCAGACTCAGTTCCTGCATTTACAAAAAGGACACATACTATGAGGCGGAATTTTCTGTGATTCTTACCGTCTTATTTTTTTTGGAGACAGGGTCTTGCTATATTGCTCAGGCTGGTCTCAAACTGCTGTCCTCAATGATTCTCCAGCCTCAGCCTCCTGCATAGCTGGGATTAAAGGCATGAGCCACAGCACCTGGCTGATTTTTATTTATTTATTTTTGGTGAGACAGTCTTACTTCATCACCCTGGCTTGAGTGTAGTGGCATCATTGTAGCTCACTACAACCCCAAACTCCTGGGCTCAAGCAATCCTCTTGCCTCAGCTTCCTGAGTAGCCAGGACTTTAGGTGAGCGATGCCTGGCTAATTTTTCTCTCTTTAGTAGAGATGGGTCTGGCTCTTGCTCACGCTTGTCTTAAACTCCTGAGCTCAAGCAATCCTCCCACCTTGGCCTCCTAGAGTGTTAGGATTACAGGTGTGAACCATCACACCTGGCCAGAAACTTATGTTCTACTGAGAAATTAGCCAGAAAGGTAAAGTGGCTACCATGATCAAAGTGTTATGTTAGATGCTGGGGACACAAAGGAAGGCAGGGCCCAGTTCACCATTCTTTTGGTACTGGCACTAGTTAACATACTTTTACTTCATGCAACTATAAGACAACCTTGAGTCTTTCAGTGTGCCAAGCCATAATGAATGAAAAGTTTAGCAGCAGAGAGCTTGGAAACAGACTGTTGTTCAAAGTAGCAGAATTATTTATTTAAAGAGTATTTTACTTTTTTTTTTTTTTTTTTGCTTAATACCACTTGTGAGATTCACCCAGGTTGACGTATGGCGCTCTTGCTCATTGATTTTTATTTTATTGTATTTGTTTTTTGAGACAGGGTCTCACTCTGTTGCCTGAGCTAGAGTGCTGTGGCGTCACATCAGCTTAGCTCACAGCAACTTCAAACTCCTGGGCTCAAGCAATCCTTCTGCTTCACAGCCTCCCGAGTAGCTGGGACTACAGGCATGTGCCACCATGCCTGGCTAATTTTTTCTATATATTTTTGGTTGTCCAACTAACTTCTTTCTTTTTTCAGTAGAGATGGGATCTTGCTCTTGCTCAGGCTGGTCTCAAATTCCTGAGCTTAAACAATTTGCCTGCCTCGGCCTCCCAGAGTGTTAGGATTACAGGTGTGAGCCACTGTGCCTGGCCCCTGGACCTTTCATATATTTTTTGATCCTCACAACCACCCTGTGAGGCAGGCAGGTTTCACACTTACTCATTCTAATGAAGTATTTTCCACATAAATACTGAAGGATGCCAAGAAAAGTTTGCTCTTAGACCTCTAAGTATTAAAAGAATAAATGTTTAAAAAGTTGTTTTATTAACTTTTAGTTTCAGAAATTGCATTAGGCATTTCTTATTTTCAAAGACTACTCTTCAAAGAAGATAAGAAATTTCTGAAGTCCACCTTTGGATTCTTTTGGGATTCATTTTGACTAAGCAACATTTTTAGTCGAGAGAAGTGTTTCTTTGTTTTGCTCGTAGTATTTGAGGAGCCAGTAGATGCTGACTGTTCAGATGTAGGTGTTCTGAAAAGAAACAAAACCACACTTAGTTATACTGACACATGACAATTTAAACAGTATTGACAACTGCTACTAGAATTGTTTTCTACTCTTTTGTATTATAGCCATATACAGGCAATGGCTGCATATTCCTTCTACGCAGCTAAAGACCACTCAAAAGTGAAGGATTTCGGCCGGGCGCGGTGGCTCACGCCTGTAATCCTAGCTCTTGGGAGGCCGAGGCGGGCGGATTGCTCAAGGTCAGGAGTTCAAAACCAGCCTGAGCAAGAGCGAGACCCCGTCTCTACTATAAATAGAAAGAAATTAATTGGCCAACTGATATATATATAAAAATAATTAGCCGGGCATGGTGGCTCATGCCTGTAGTCCCAGCTACTCGGGAGGCTGAGGCAGAAGGATTGCTCGAGCCCAGGAGTTTGAGGTTGCTGTGAGCTAGGCTGACGCCACGGCACTCACTCTAGCCTGGACAACAAAGTGAGACTCTGTCTCAAAAAAAAAAAAAAAAGTGAAGGATTTCAACCTACCCATAGGCACCATTCCATTGCATCTTCCCTGCTAGAATGTAAGCTCCATAGGGCAGGCACCTTTCACTAATTGTTTATTCTAGTGTTTTTTGACAGTGCCAGGCACATAGGAGGTGCTCTAAAAATATCCACTGAATAAATGATCCCCATCTGGTATGTGTGTATTTCATTCCCTCCCATTGTGTTCCATCCCCATGAACCCTTATTTGGGGTTTGTCAGACTGATCTCTCTTTTGACTCCTCATCTATATGATAAATGTGAAATAACTTTTCCAGTCCTGCATATATTTAAGAAGTAGTCTGTTCCAAATGCAATGAAATTATTTTTATTTATTTTTATTTTTTTTTAAAATAAATTTTAATTAAGTTTTTTTCCTTCCTCTTTTTATGGCCAAAAGTGATCAAACTCACCAGAACAATTAAATTATTTTAAAAAGCCAAATTTTCTTTTAGATACACTTATCCAATAAAATGAAAAATGTGATAAATTCTTATCAGACCAAATATCAAAATAATTAAATCATGAATATAGACATAACTAGACTTGAAATTTTAATTCTTACCCAATTTTAAAAACTTGAAGCCAAATATAAAACATTAAATTCAATAGGTGGAGATAATCTAGTTCTTGCTGAATTTTGTTATTTATATTCAAGAGGCTACCAGACTCATTTTTTCTTTTGTAGCAAAATGTTCCAAATTCCTTTCATAGTTTCTATGGAATCAAATTTAAATTTTACTATCATAGTAAATAAAGTACTGAGAATTACTAAAATAAAATAAAATGTGTCCAGTAATATAGTTAGCTTAGTATCATTTTACAAATCCCTATTCGGATTTCCTCAGGAATTTTTCATACAGGAAAGAGCAAGTGCAAAGGCTTAGACCAGGAAAGCCAATGGTTCAGTTTTTCTGGCTCATAGGATGAATTAAGGCAAAGTAAGACAGGCAGGCAAATTGGTGCCACATAGTGAGGGCTGGAAAGCCATACTAGAGTATTTGATTCATATGCTACAGAGTGAGGTGGTAAATGCCTCTAATCAGAGCTATACTCTAGAAAGATGATCAGACAAGGGTTTGAAAGTAGACGTAGGGAGACCCAGTAGGAAATAATTGTAGTACTGACAAAAGATGAATAAGGCCCTGAACTAGGATAGCAGCACTAGGGAGAAAAGGGAAAACAGATGGAAATAGCCTGGAAGAACAGACAGAAACTGGAAGACCAAACGGAGAAGGGATTTTTGAATAGACCTGCCATTTTAGGTCAATGTCCAGAAGAGCATGCTCCTTCACAGAACAGGGAACTTAGGATTAGGAGGATGGCAGGTCTGAGTGGGACATGAAGAACTAAGTTTGGGGCATGTAGAGGAGTGGATATATTAATATTTAGCAAGCAGCTGGGAATAGGCCCAGGGAGAGGTTGCAAGTAGAGGGATATGCTGTGAAGTCATATGCACTGAGATAAGCATGGAAGATATGGAATTATATGACATTAGAAAATGGTATGGAGGCAAAATGGCCAAGTCCTAACTGTATGGCATATTTAGGGAATATATATTAAACAGAGGAAATTAGAAGAAATACTTGAGGTAACACTGACAATGCAAATAAAGTTAATGGATTAAGATACCTGAAAATCAATGCTGGGCTCTTGCCTTTGGAACCAGACATATTATGACTTAGGTTTGCAGAATTCAGAGTCTTTCCCTCTGGTGTCTTCACACTGAGTTTGCTTGTAGGAGTGGCAGGATTGCTCTTCAATGCTGACAGAAAGCTTCTACTTTTACCATGATGTTTAACTGTTCTATTGCATGTTTTACAAGTAACCAACTACCACAAAAAGAAGAAATATGAGTCAGTCCTTTGATTTCTCTTATAACTTAACCCCATAAACCACACATTCTTTGAATTCTTATGTCAAGGATGACAGCAGGTGCTATAGGGCTAAGTAAAACAGAGGCTTCCCTTGGGTAGCTTGCAGTCTAGCAGCAGGAATCAGATAAGACAAATTTAAAATGAGAAAATCTTCAACAAAAAATTAATGGCTAAACATTTATACTTAATTTAAAATAGGTTTTTAAAGATAATGAACTATTTGTTTCTGAACTTTACTCAATTCTGTGGGAAAAAAAATAAAAATATTTTAAGAAATAAAAAGAAAAAAAATAAAGATAATGAACTCTCGACTTTCTCAATATAAAACTGTTTGGGGAGAGTTGGAGAAGAGACTGGGGATGACACTCTTTAACATCTGGAAGGATTTTTGGTAATATCAGCAGACATTTAATATTTTGTAGATGAACTTCAGGCCTTTTCCCAACAACAGTGGCAGAATATCATTGGAACTTTACGTGGTCCCTTCAAAACCTTCACAATTTTGTAAAAATAGGTCTAAAGTAATTTATAAAACCAAGTAAGTTATATTCTCAAACCTCTTCACTTCTATCATTACTTCTAGAAGTTAACTTTCTTTTAAGGATTAATTTCTCAAGAAATAGTCCATTTTCTAGCTAAATTCCTTTCTTCTACATACCTAATTCAAAATGCATAGGATTCAGCCCATGCCTCAGCAAAAATAATACAAACTGCTTTAGGTGAGAAGTACTCTGATGTTCATGAACAGGTGAAAATGCCAGTGGAAGATCTGCAGGTATCAAAGGTCTATGTTACTTTACACTTTTTGGAAGGAGGCTATATATATGTGTGTGTGTACATGCACACACACATATATATACATATCAGCAAAACAAATACCCTTAGCACCTTTGTAGCTAACCTCTGATTAAAATATATTAGTATACAAGCTTCATGAGGGCAAAACACTGGAAGACAGCAAGGAAGCATCTATCATCTTCCCATTTAAGAACATTTTCAAAATATGTGACACAGTGCTGTTTTTTGAAAAATACAATTCTCCAGGAACTAAGAAAGTGAATTTGACTCACTTTAGTATTCTATCTCTTCTCTTTTTCCCTTTAACCACTTAATTTTTTTTTTTTTTTTGAGACAGGGTCTCGCTTTATTGCTAGGGCCAGAGCGCAGTGTCATCATCATAGCTCACAGCAACCTCAAGCTCCTGGGCTCAAATGATCCTCCCACCTCAGCCTCCTGAGTAGCTGGGACTGCAGGCACGCATCATGATGCTCAGCTAATTTTTCTATTTTTTGTAGAGACTGGGTCTCGCTTGTGCTCAGGCTGGTCTCAAAACTCCTGGCCTCAAGCAATTCTCCTGCCTTGGCCTCCTAGAGTGCTAGGATTATAGGCATGATGCCTATAGCCTCATGCCTGGCTGCTTTTATGACAAAGCAAAATGTACTTAGCTGTCCAATACTGGTAAACTCTTAAATATGGCAATTTTCAATCCAAGTTTTTAACATAATTGTAGTCTTAGGCCAGACAAGAGCTGTCATTCATAATGTTCAGTCCAGCAAAGGAATTAAAATTAATAAATGTTAACATAGAATATGCAAAATATAAAATGTATCTGATACTGATTTCATATAGCAAACCATAAGTAATTTGCTTTTGGTTTTATTCCATTTCATATCCTCAATACTAAGTATTGTTTGGCATATGATAGACCCTCAATAAATGTTTAATGAATGAACACAAGATACACTTACCTTTGTTGGGCACACATGTAAATATATACTCTGACATGGGGAGGGGAATGACTCAGGAAGTGACACTGGTACCTAAATACATAAGGTACTGCTGTTTGAAGAAAAGGACCAAGGAAAAAATAACATATTGACAACCGCAATTCAGGTAGAGACATAATGGTCAGCTCATGAAATCCTCAAATTTGTGAAAATAATTGTGCTCAGCAGTGAGATCTGAGAACTATTGAGACCTCACGATGTTTGGTTTTAGGTAAACATGAAAAATAAAAATAAGCTAGTCTTGTAATGAAACATTAATAGAAAAATTGAGGCTGGGCGTGGTGGCTCACACCTGTAATCCTAGCACTCTGGGAGGCTGAGGCAGGTGGATAGCTCGAGGTCAAGAGTTCAAAACCAGCCTGAGCAAGAGTGAAACCCCATTCTACTAAAAATAGAAGGAAATTAGCTAGACAACTAAAAACATATAGAAAAAATTAGCCGGGCATGGTGGCGCATGCCTGTAGTCCCAGCTACTCAGGAGGCTGAGGCAGAAGGACTGCTTGAGCCCAGGAATTTGAGGTTGCTGTGAGCTAGGCTGACACCACAGCACTCTAGCCCAGGCAAAAGAATGAGACTTTTGTCTCAAAAAAAAGAAGAATTGTGTATACATTTTGATATTCTAGATATACTACTATAAATCTGAGTCATTCAGGCTGATTCTTACCTTATTTTAAATGAAAGAACAGAAAATTCTATTTCATTCACACATACTGGAATTGAAATCTTACCAAGACACTTTTGGAGTCTTTGTACTTTTTCACAATTTTTGCTTCTTTAGAACTGAGTGTATAATTTCTTGCTTCTCGATTAAGAAGTTTCTGTATTTTGGGTGTCAATTTGGATTTGGGTTTGAGGCGAACTCGAGAGTTATCCAGAACCAACAACTGGAAACAGTATGGACATGTTTCTTCAAAAGTGCTATTATCATCTAAAATTATACAAATGAAACTCACAATCCAGCAAATCATATTTTGTTACCTCAAACTGCCAACATAAATGTGAAAAAGCATATTAATATTTAATATAGGCACATATACATTCTCCTTAAGCAAACTCAAAATATGAAAATTTTCAAAAACATAAATTGGCAGTAATTTACTTTGCAAAATACTATTATTCCATCCATTCACTCCTTTCAGCAACAGACAGGCAAGTCTCCAACCTATGCCAGCAAATCCCACTGGCTTTCCAATACATCTAAAATCTAGCCACTTTTCATCACTTGCTACTAATTTAAAAAAATGGCTATCATGTTTCACCAATTTTACCAACACATTTACAGCAAAATAGTAAATTACGATTTTGTTTTTATTTTTAAAACAATTAGCACAATGAATATTTGTTGACTACCTGCTGTTAAGCACTGTGCTAAGTGCTAGAGATATAACAATACTACTGTGTTTCCCTGAAAATAAGACCTAACCATAAAATAAGCCCTAGCAGGATTTCTAAGCATTTGCGCAATATAAGCTCTACCCCGAAAATAAGACCTAGTGATGGGTATGTCTATACAGCGTATCTGCACAACCCATGCATTTTGTCTCGGAGCAGTAAAGATGAGCAGCCCTTTGCATCTGTCCCATCGTGACACCTACTATCCCAGAGGTGACTGGAAAGGTGTGGGCAGCCCCACCAACAAAGTTGGCTCCCCCATCAGGTCCTGGCCATCCTGGGCATGCTCCAGCTGAGGCTTTGAGGGGAAAATAACACATCCCCTGAAAAATAAGCCCCAAGTGTCTTCTTGAGGAAAAATAAATATAAGACCCTGCGTTATTTTGGGGGAAATATGGTACAAAGAGCTAAGGACCATGCTTGTAATTTAGCTCAGCCAAATGTAAAAAAAACCATTCTCATTTACTGAGTTGACAAGTGCCAGGCAGTTCTTGCTGGAGATACAGCAGTGAACAAAGGACAACAATTCTAGGAGGCAGACAGTAAATATAACAATGTCAACTGTTAAGTGCTAGTAAGAAAAAAGTAGGGTAGGAGAGGAAAATAGGGCATGTCAATGGAGTTACTGTAATTTTAAATAGAGTAGGTTCATTAAGTGACATTTACAAGAGACCAGAAGATGGAGGACTCAAATGGAAGCAAGTATGTGAGGCAAGAATTCCAGGCAGAGGGAAGGGGTCTGCTAAGGCCCTGAAACAGAACAGCAAGGAGGCCTGTGTGGCTGGAGAAGAGTGAACAAGAGAGCAAGTCTGGTAATGTGGACCTATGATGTAGGGCCTTATGGTCCTTTTAAAGGGCTTTTACTTTTACTATGAGATGGGAAGCCACTTGAGAGTTTGTGGCAGAGAAGTGACATGATCTATAATAGCTTTATTTTTTTATTTTTTATTTTTTTTTTGAGACAGAGTCTTGCTTTGTTGCCCAGGCTTGAGTGAGTGCCGTGGCGTCAGCCTAGCTCACAGCAACCTCAAACTCCTGGGCTTAAGCAATCCTGCTGCCTCAGCCTCCCGAGTCCCCTCCTGGGACTACAGGTATGCGCCACCATGCCCGGCTAATTTTTTCTATATGTATTAGTAGGCCAATGAATTTCTTTCTATTTATAGTAGAGACAGGGTCTCGCTCTTGCTCAGGCTGGTTTTGAACTCCTGACCTTGAGCAATCCGCCCGCCTAAGCCTCCCAGAGTGCTAGGATTACAGGCGTGAGTCACCCCGCCCGGCCTATAGCTTTGTTTTTTATAAGAAACATTCTCGTGGCTGGCTTAAGAACAAACCAGAAATGTATGGGAGCTACGGGCAGTAATCCAGGCCAGAGGTGGTTATGACCTGGAGCACGGTGGTGAGAACTGGCTAGATTCTGGATATATTATAAAGCTAAAAGGATTTGCTGACATACTGGCTAGGAAGGAGTGGTGCTAGGGAGTCAAGAATGGCTCCCAGGTTTTATGGATAAATAAGTGAAAGCACAGAGTTACCATTTACTAAAATGAGAACTGTCAAAGCCTGTTGGGGGTAAAGCTCAGGTTTTGGACATATTAGTTAAGTTTGAAGTGCCTATTGGACATTCAGAAGTTGTCAAGAAGGCATGAGGATAGAATTTGGGGGAGAAATCTGGGCTGGGTATATCAATTTGGAAGTTTTCAGTATATGGTATTTAAAAACCACGAGACTAGATGAAAAGCTCACCAACAAAGTGATTGTAGCTAGAAAATAGGTACAAGGGCTAAGTACTGGCACACGACAATATTTAGAGGTTGAGGAGATTAGGAGGAAGGTCAAACAAGATTAGAATTTGGATTTTTCAGGAAACTGAGAAGCCTCTGGGGTTTCTAAACTGAGGGGAGTGAGTTGGTAACCCTTTTCTTTTAGATCATTCTGAGCGCTGTGCGTAATGGAGGAGAGCGGGGTGACAGGAGCCTAACCCATAACACAGGTGTTCTCCTTACCGTGTGACGAACCATAGGCCCAGCTGTAAAAGAGAAAGAGATTCGTGAGGGGCAAAGGAACACCTTCTCGCCGCTGGCCTCCCGCTACCTGTCCCGTCCTCTTACAGAAGATATCGGGCCTGACCCGGGCAGCTATCTCGTAGTCCCCGAGCCGCAGTTTCAAGGTAGTGCTTCTGCCTCATTGCTGCGGCCACTTCCCTGCCACCGCCGCTCTCTCACTGCTTTCCCGCCCCTGAGACTCAGTGAAAAAACAAGGCTCCGGAAGTCGGCTTCCCGGCGTCGCAGTCGTTCGCGTCAGGATTCAAGCTCCCTCCGGAAACGGGCACCCTCGGCTGAGGAGTTCCGGTTTCTTTTGCGTCCGGTCCGGCGTGACGGCGTACCCAGCCAGGAGGTGGCCCTCACCCCGCCGCAGTCCCGCCCCTCGGTCCCATCCCGTCCCTTCAGGCACCCAGCGAAGGGATGACCCCGGGCGGAGCAGCTTGGCCAGGCAGGGGTGGCAAAGTCGGGAGCCGAGGGTGACACCCGTCTGTCTTCCTCCCTTGCCTGCCTCCTCTCGGACACCCCTGTTGTAGTTTTCTCACAGCAGCGTGGCCCTCTAGATTCGCCAGCCTGTGTATTGACTGGACAAGGCTGCTGGGGGGACCCCGCCTCGGAGTCCAGCCTGCCCTCCGCACGTGGACAAGCCAGGATTGTCTTTCTTTTTGTAATTCACGTGAAATTCATACGACATAAAACTTACCATTTTAAGGCGAACAGTTCAGTGACATTTAGTACGTTTACAATGTTGTGCAATCACCACCTTCATCTACTTCCAAAGTATTTCTGTCACTCCAAAGGCAACCCATATCTGTGAAGCATTTACTTCCCATTCTCTTCTCCCAGGCCCTGGCAACCAGTAGTCTGCTTTCTGTCTCTATGGATTTACCTATTCTGGGCAATTCATATAAATGGAATCATACAATATGCTAAAATTTGTGTCTAGCTTCTTCCACCTAGCAACCTTTGATTTATTTCTACTTTTTGGCTATTAGGAATAATGCTGCTGTGAACGTTTATTTTGTTGAAGTCAAAATAAAAATGTAGAAATGAATCTCTAATGCTTTATTTTGGAATAAAGGATTGCAATTTAGGGTACACACGCAGACCAACTTCCATAGGTCTGAAGAACAAAGAAAACATTAGAGGTTTTAAACATTATTATTGCTGTTGGAGGAAGTCCATTGGCACTAGTACGGGTTTGGGGAGCTGGCAGCAGTGGGCAAAATTAGTCCTAGAGTTGTAGCAAATTATCTCCGACGCTATAGATAAAACCAGTTTCAGATTACAAGAATTTTCAGCAGTGAGGCTTGCAGAGAATTACATTCTTGGAGCAATGTTTTCTACCCTGAGTGCTTTCCCCCCATCAGCTTCCCACTCTGTTAGTTGAGTGTGACAAGCACGACCCAAATCGTAGGATCAGCTTTCACAGTTTGATTATCTGTTTTCTGTTCTTTTGGGTATATACATAGGAGTAGCCATGCTGGGTCATAGGATAATTCTATGCCAAACAAGGGTTCCTAAAAAGTGTGGAATAGCATCTTATTGTGGTTTTAATGATTTGAACTTCTCTAATCATTGCTGCTATTTGAGCAGCTTTTCAAGTGCTTGTTAGCAATTTGTGTATCTCGTTTGCAGGAATATCTGTTTAAGTTCTTTGCCCGTTTTTAAACTTCTTTTTTTTGTCTTTGTTGTTGAGGCATATGAGGTTTTTTCAAAAATATATTCTGATTACTGGACCCTCATTTATTCCTCATTTTTAATTTTAAAAAGGAGTCAAATGATACAAAGGTTTGTGAAGTAAATATTTTTATCTATCTAGACATTTGAACTTTTTCAAAAGAAAAATTCTTACCCCGGCTCTTTGCACCTTTCCATCTCACTTCTCTGAGACGATCAACACTAATAATTGGATGTCTCCTCCTTCTATGTTCTTATATGTTTAAGTACATGTATAAATGTGTAAACCCCCCACCTACCATTACCACACAAAAATATATATACACACACACAACCAAAACTAGAAGTAGAATGTTAGTCCCTTATTATATAACCTGTCTTTTTGCTTAACAACAGGCCACAGACATCTTTTCAAGTTAGTATATATAGTTCTCTCACATGCTTTTTAGTAGCTGTACAAAATATAATATTACAAAATGTAATGAACCATAATTTATAATTTAACCATTTTCTTTTCTTTCTTTTTTTTTTTTTTTTTTTTTTTTTTTTTTTTTTTTTTTTTGAGACAGAGTCTTACTTTGTTGCCCAGGTTAGAGTACCGTGGCATCAGCTTAGCTCACAGCAACCTCAAACTCCTGGGCTCATGCAATCCTACTGCCTCAGCCTCCCGAGTAGCTGGGACTACAGACACGTGCCACCATGCCTAATGGTGGCTAATTTTTTCTATATATTTTTAGTTGTCCAATTAATTTCTTTCTATTTTTAGTAGAGACGGGGGGTCTCACTCTTGCTCAGGCTGGTTTCGAACTCCTGACCTTGAGCTATCCACCTGCCTCAGCCTCCCAGACTGCTGGGATTACAGGTGTGAGTCACCACGCCCGGCCTAACCATTTTCTTATTGATGGACATTCAAATTGTTTTTTTAGTGCTTTGCTAGTTCATGCAGTGCAGCAGCAAAAATCTTGTGTATACTGATCTTTTTTAAAAATTTTTATGGATATATAATAGTTGTATATATTTATGAAGTACATGTGAAAGTTTGATACAAGAATATAATGTATAATGACCAAATAAAGGTAATTGGAATATCCATCATGTTGGTGCTTTTTATTTCTTTTGTCTGAATTCTAAAAGAGAAATCACTGGGTAGAATGATATGTATATTTTTGTTTGCCACATCATTCAAAAAAGGTTGTAGCAATTCATATTCCCACCATTGATGTCTGAGAAAGCTGGCTCAAATTGGAAGGGTGAAAGGCAGAGCCCCTTTTCACATGTTTCTTAATGGTTTGCATTTTCTCTTGTGAAGAGAAATGATCTGTTGGGTTGTTTATCAATGTCTAGGACATATTTGTATTTTGGGGAAGTTCATCTTCTGCTTTTCATATATAATGCAATATTTTCTTACTTGCCTCTTACTTATATTTGGCATAGTGTATAGTTTTTTGTTTGTTTGTTTTTGCCATACAGAATTTTGTATGTGGTCAAACAAGTCACTGTTTTCATTATTGGGTCTGGGTTTTCTGTGTAGTTTAAAAAGGCCTGCTCTATTCCAACGCTAGACAACTAATTATTCTATCAAATGTTTTTCTCAACTTTTCTGGTGTGATTTCTTCCATGTACTTCTTTATCCATTTGAAATGTATTTTCACTTAAGTGTCAGGTAGAGCATCTGCCATTTTTTCAAAATGGATAGCAAGTTATGCAAAGACACTTACTGGGTAAACTAGTCTATTTCTATTTGAATTGAAATAAAAATAATAGGCAATGAGCGCTGAATATGTGCCAGGCACTTTTCTAAGCATCTTAACACGTATTAATTTCATGTAATCCTCACAACAACCATGTGGCATAGGTGAAATGCCAATTTGCCAAATAGAAGTGTTTTTCTTTTAACACAGTTGCATCTGTTTCTAGATCACTAACCAATAAAGCAGAAAAGAGGGAAAACGTGTGTGCGTGTGCACACACCCTCCCGCCCACCCATACCCACACCCACACCCACTCCTCCTGCCTTCAGCTGCTTCTCTTCCCTTCTCTCTGAGCACCCTACTCCTACATCCGGATGCCTCCTTGCCATCCCTATTTGCATTGTAACTTGTCTTTTTAGATGCAATGTGGCTAAGAAGCACTCTTGATTTCACCTACCTACCTGCCTGGCCACTTAGTATTCTTCCATCTTACCGCCCGGCACCCCCAGCAGCATTGCTGCCTCCTCCTTCCTGCCACATGCAGCTGATCTGCTCACGTGTCCTGCCAGCTTCTTGGCACCCCTCAGCCACTCTGTTCTCTTGCCTGTGCCCCTACCAC